GTTTTAATTTTCTGTGCACGTCTTACTAGACGAACAGCTGATTTTTTACCCAGCGTTACACCAGAAAGTTTCATAAGAGATCGTATACATGGAGCCGTAATAAGAAGAGTATCATCAGCACCTGCACAATTATCTAATGACAAAACTCGATCGCAAATAAATTGTGCATGACGTAACAATGTATCTTCTGTGAATGACATCGTTTCCTTAGGAGGTACTACTGTCTAAAATACAAATATAGCAAACACAATCAAACAAACAAAAAAAAAAGTGGAAATACAAAATACATATTAAAATATAAAATAGCAAACTTACTTGAAGTTTATTCAGCAAATCTTCATAGGTTGGATTAATTTCATCTAATAAAAATTCTATAACTAATTTACTCATATATATCTTCTCTTTAACAGCATCCATGAAAGGTGCATAAGTTTCAGAAGGTTCCATCAAAATATATTCCGCAAATGCAGTACTAAAACCCAATAGTACCAATTCTCCTCCGTCAAATCCAGTAACATACCATTCATTTATTGGCCCCATATCTTTTGTCGGTATACCTCCTTCGGGTGAAGAATTTTCTTCATAGATAGCTTTCATGTATCCAGAAAAATACAGCAGTACGTTTTTCTCTATGAGTCCTGTATCAAAAGGACACAGATGTCCATTCATGTCATAAACACTAAAAAAAAAAAAGAAATCATTTTTCTGTTAGTATATTCAACATTAAATATGCTCCTGTTAATATTAATGTCCCTAAAAAAAAAGATATATTGTTTTACAGTAATGTTCTTTATTAATATTCCTTAATTAATATTACTAGGTATTTTGTTTTACAATAATTTTAAAAATAAACGTCACATGTACTGTTTAGAGAGCTGTTTACAGAAGAAAATTGAAAAAGAAAATTTACCTAAAATGAGTTAATTTATTTTGTGGTCTCTCATCACTTTCGTCTATAAAAGATTCATTTCCAATAAATAAACACAACTTAGGATCAATTAAAGCTATCTCTTCCTCAATTGCACCATTTGGGTGTCCTTGATACAATGTTATATCATTATTCAATTTCTGTTTACAATACTGGCATCGTTCTACTATAACAGATGCCTTTTTATCTTGAGCTTTTGATTCAGACATTTTTTTATTTTCTGTTTTTATTCTCTTCTCTGGATTTTCTTTTATCTCTTCTTGATTTATTTCAGGATCATGATTTTCCTTATCAAATTCTAGGGTAACATTTTCATCTGTTTCTATTTCAACCTCATGAAGATTAGACACTATTGTTTCTAAATTTATTTCAATAGGTATCTTCCTTTTTACTGATGTTTGCTTAGGAACTTTATCTAATGCAGACAGATTCGAATTCATATCGGAATTTGGTTCAGCTTCCTCTACTTTATCTAATTCTGCATTGTTGTTCTTCCTATTTCGACGTATTTTCTTTCTACTGGTATCTGATTCACTTTCTGTCATAACATCCAAATAACATGAATTTAAGAGCAATATTCATAAATAGATGGCACTCATACTTCAAACTCACATTTAAAAAGGAATTCAATTACTTTCTCTAATAGTACACTAGATTAATGCTTATTATTATAAAAGCTATTATGTGCATAAAATTAGCAAAGTTAAATGTAAAGCATATAAGTATTTCAAACGATTAATTACTTAATAATGGTATTATCATGTTATTTAATAGAATGTATGCAGGATGTATCCTCATGTATGCAGGATGTTTCTGAAAAAGCGGACACTAATTACATAGTGCTAATCCTGATCTAAAATTGAGTCGAAATTTCCTGAGAGCCATTTTTTACAATGCTGTATGAAACAGTTATTATCGAGTAAAGCTAATCGAATGGGCACTGTCTTTTAAACGGACGCACGTCCGTGAACCGCGCGCCTAGTAGTGTGTGTGAGCGCTCCGCTATCGCGCAATATTCTCCACGCATCCTTGTAATGCGAAAAATTTGTTTTGCATTCAAAATCATATTCTATCAGAAGCACTTTCTTTCAGAGAAGGGATAGAACTCTCGTCAAAACGTAGCAAATTATAGATTACATAAAAAATATAATTTTTTTTGCTTTATATAATCAATAATTTGCTACGTTTTGTCTGTTTTGTTGCTATACGTTTTACCTGTATCGCTCCATTATTTCAAAGGTTACCATACAGCCTGGTTCCAATGTAAAATTAATTTTAATATATTGGGTGTATATCGATTGTAACGAGGCACACTTACGCACAAGCCAATCACAGCTAGAAAAAAAAAATAAAAAAATTCCTTACGCAGAGAAGTTGCTGTGATAGGCCACTGCCCACTGGCAATAGTTACAGTGTGCAAGTGAACCGCTCCCAATATATTTCGCTTCAATTTATTCTTTATCTTTTTCTAATTCTAAGAAATAAACACACACTTTCTAAGAATTAGAAAACGATAAATAGTACATTAAACTAAGATTAAAATTAATCTTACATTGATGGAATCACTACCTCCATCATTGCATTTTGATTCTTTACAGCAACCACCTAATTTTAACTCTATAGGGCATGCAAAAAACTTGAATTACAGTAGAGACTGTAAGGCTAAATGTCCAACATGTAGATTTACATTTCAATGCTCAAGTTTTTTGTGTATTATGGTCTTCAAAGTAGTGACCAATTCTTTAAGAAGGCAAAAAAGAAGAACATTTAAAAAAATTCAATATTGTCATAGTTAAATTTTAATAATCTTTTTTTAATAATTTAAAGTTATCAAAACTCATAAACAATATTACATTATAATATTTGCAAATAACTCTAATTACACTTAATGTATAACATCATATGAGATCATAACAAAAATCAAGTTATGAAATCATATTGTACTTTTTAAAATTTTACTTTTCTACTAAGTGTATTTTATGAATATTTGAATGTTTGAATAAAAAATTCTAAATTTTTTCACATATTAGTTAAAAATTATATTTCACACTTATTAACTGTAACTTTAAAAGACGGATAATTTATAAATCATTTAGTACAAAATTTAGGATTCTAAAGTTGGACAGTTAAAATTTGAGATGATTCCTAACTTGGAACAGTTGATCATTAAGCTTTAAAGTCATTTCAACTAACTCCAATTAACTTTAATCATTGACTAGATGGGAATTGACCAATCACATTTATCATTTTGCTTAATGATAGAATCACAATATTCAATCAATTCCAATAGATTGAACCATTGATTAAACTTAATTGGAGTTGGTCAAAATTAGTCTACATTTGGAATTATACAGAATACCTCCGATTTTGATAAAATTAGGCTCATTCGACGTGTTTTTGCATAAAATGAAAGAATCTGGTAAAAACTAGCGTCGCTCTGTCCTGCGAACCGAGATATTAAGCATTAAAGTTGAGTGCAAAAAACCAGTGCTTCAAAAATATAAAAGTACTGTTTCAAAAACACAAATTGACTGCTTTAAATACACAAATTCACTGCTAATGCAAAGAATTTGTGTATTTAAAGCAGTAAATTTGTGTTTTTAAAACAGTACTTTTGTATTTTTAAAGCACTGATTTTTTGTATTTTTGAAGCATGATGGAAATATAATATAATCGCAACGCATGCTCATAGCGCAGTATTTCGCAGCTGTGACAGATTTTCTAACCTGAATAGTCGTCAACTTCAACGCTTAATAATCTCGATTTGCGGGCAGCGACGCTTAGTTCTGCCAGAATCTTTCGTTTTATGTAAAAACGCGCCGAATGAGCCTAATTTTATCGAAATCGGAGTTGGTATTCTATATAATTACCATCATATTTTGTATTACATGGCAGTCACTCAGCAACATTTTCAAGAAAAGAGAAACACCAAACAAAAAGTTTGATAACAGTAGCTCACAGTTCTCTCGGTGCAATGACTAAACGGTAACTAAGAGTAATTAAGCAATCGCGATTCCTCGATAAAATACATATAAAAATTCCATGACACTCACCTCGCGACTCATCTTTTAAATGTTCAGTGACGAGGTTACGTTTAACTACATGATGTTTTTTGCGGGCCATCGTGAAGAAATGAGATCTGTGAAGAATCCCTCGACTGCTCTTGTGCGTTCACTGATAATACTGGTCACAGTCTCCTCAATACGACCCTACGACTGAAACATAACTATCTTAGAATTATAGATTATAAGGAATATATATCTTACAAGATTTACAAGCTCTCACTCACTGGCTCTCGCGGAGTCACGGCTCCCAGGCTCTCACGGTACCCCGCCTTTTTACCATGTTCCCGCCAACGTAGAGAGCACAGAATAAAGAGACAAATCTCATTGCATTCGTTTAGGCAGAGATGCGTTCAAAAGTTAAGGTACATTCACATACAACCGTCAAGCAGCGAAGGTGATACTCGCGATGCTCACGACCGATGGCGGCGCTAGTGTTACTTAGAGTCCCTATAAGAGAGTTGTGTCAATCTGAAGTAAAATGGCGTCTAATTGGGACTCTAGCAGAAAGGGACGCTAGACCTTAAGGTGCTTTTTCATGCGCAGCACGCTGCAGCAGCAATTCGTTACTATTGGTTAAGAATTTTATGTAAGCTAGATGACGCACTTCCGGCGCAAAATACATTTTGCCGCAGTTCGTTGAAGTTGAACCGAACGAACAGCAAGCGGCAAAATCGAGAAAGCGTACAATATGTCCGTCGTTTCATTATGAAAATATTATTTATTGCAATAAATATTAGGAAAATAAACGAAAAATGGCTTCGGATAAGGTACGGATACATGTTCGTCGGAAGTGCGTCGTCTAGCTTACATAAAATTCTTAACCAATAGTAACGAATTGCTGCTGCAGCGTGCTGCGCATGAAAAAGCACCTTTATGTGTCATGGGCTTTATGCATTTCATGTGCGATAGGCCTTAATCGTCTTTAGGATCTCCATAAGGGATCGCCACATGAAATTACACCTTGAGCGCCACACGTCAGCAATCGTTAGTACAAGAAGTAATCAGAAGTTGACGCGCTTCGTAACGTGCAGTGGTTCAGTCACGCTCTTCGATCTTTTGAGGAAGAAACTCGTTGCTGACGTCTAAATAATGGGTCACGAAGGAGAAGTTACTCTTATTCAGAATTCTGTAAGTAATATTACAATAATTTCATCACCTGTCCGAACAGGCTATATGTACCCCAATGCGGTTTATGCACATAATATATGAAATAAGATAACCTTGAGTGTACGTCGCACACGCGCAAATAGTTGCGCTCCGTCGTTCCGCCCTACCTGCAATGTTGCCAGTGGTTGCCAGGCTAGAACTGGCCAGAAGCTGAGAGAATATAGCAGAAAAGTATAATACCAACTTGAAAAAATAATGACATATCTTGCAGCACTTTGATGAGGTAATATTGTGCAATTACATCGACTTTCATTTCTAAAACAAATTTAAATTTATATATAATTGAAGATAATAATTTGAAATATTGCGCAACGTTGGAACACGATCACGTGCAACGTTGTTTCGCTCGCTTGTCGCAAAGATTTACATTTATTAAAACTTATACTTGATAACAGTTATAGATTAGTTAATTAGTGTATGTATAGGTATCTGGCAATACTATATTCCAGCATGAGTCACTCCTATGAGTATTATACTTTGCGAAATATATATATATACTTCGGTTTCGACCTTGAAAACAATCGATTCCGTATTACGTTATTATCTGGGAATGGAAAGTTACTTTTTAAAAGTAAACAAGTTGCAGTTACTCGTTACCGAGTAAAAAAAGTAACCGTTACTTGAAAAAGTGACTTTTCGTTACTTTTCTGTTACTTTTTAAAAATCAGTCTGAAAGTGTACTTTTGTAGTATTTTTTGTTTAAACGTTAATAAAAGCAGTATATATATAAATTTAAATAAAAAATACTACAAAAGTACACTTTCAGACTGATTTTTAAAAAGTAACAGAAAAGTAACGAAAAGTTACTTTTTCAAGTAACGGTAATATATATATATATATATATACTGCTTTTAACAAAAAATACTATATATTTTTTTTTTAACAAAAAATACTATTATATATATATATTGCTTTTATTAATGTTTAATCGTTACGTAAAGATGGTTTTTTTACTTTAATTATACAATTCGAAAGCGTGAATTTTACGAATTTTAACGTTCCCAACGATGGCGAGTATAATTTCGTCCTTGTTCATCGAATGTTAAGCAAGGGTGAAATAATACGAGCGTGTATGAGTAAAACGCACCTTTATACGCGTCACATACAACTTACAAATGTTAAGTGGAGATGAATGATTCATTCGATATTACATCAACCATGAACAATTTTAATTATGTCATCAGTCATCATTTAATCGTAAAGATAAATTATCGGATTGAAGTAGGTAATATAACGTAATGTATGTTGCGTCATATATCTATTTTTTCCTTAATATATTTGCCAATCAGCAAAGTTGGAAATTAAAATATTACTTGTTACAGTTTTCGTTACTTTAGGTACACTGCGGAGCATTAATTCGTTGGATCATAATAGCGGCTTATTGACGCTGAGTCGGAAACGCTCAACGCGCGCGCGCCTGAAATAAGAAGAGACACAGACAAACATTGGAAATTTATTGCGTTTTTTCCCTTGCGTATAAAATCATGTATTCTTGCAGAAATGCATGAAATTCATGCACTCATTTATAGGGTTGCCACAAGTCAGGGAAATGTCAGGGAACTTAAAAAAATGCGTCAGGGATTGAGCATCCTTGTCAGAGAAAATAAAATAGCTGTTAATAAATTTATATTTTATAGCTGTTAATATAATATTGCCTTGTGCTTCTATGATTGGTTTGGACTATTTTTTGGGGGGGGGGGGGAATTCGTTTCCTGAAGAAAATGTGCATCTATGTTACATTGCTGGATCACCAGGATAATTTAACATTTGTATTATTTAAGGTCACGAAAAATCTCAAAATTTTGTCAGTAAATCAGGGAAATGTCAGGGTATTTTACGATTAAAAATTTGTGGCAATCCTGATTTAGTTCATGTATTCCTTTGACTATTTTATTCAATTTGACAGTAACTCTTCTTATTTCAAGCGCGCGCGTTTTGAGCGAGTCTCAGCGTCGATAAGTCAAGCCACTACTTATAATCCAGCGAAATAATGCTCCGCACTGTACTTTCCATTTAATGACACACGAATCATTCTATCTTCGTTACTCGTAGAAAGAAAGATAGATGATATTTACGTCGAATTGTCACTAAACGACTAAAAGAAAGGCATTAAGGACAAAGGCAAATTGTTGCATGACTAATGAAAGTTCATGAAAGCAAGTAGATAGCTATCTGTGTATCTCCCTATTATAGACAAATAAATATTTGTATTACAATTTTTATTTGTATAATATGATTATTTACATTCACTTAATAAATATTTGTATTATTATTGTTGAATAGAAATTGTATTATAACAATTTCTCTTAATTTATGTACTTTTTATTCATCAATTAGTAAAATAAAAATATATTTAATAAAGAAAAATTGATATAATATTTATTCTTTTATAGGATGACTTGAAGATTAAACTTAAAGATGCAGGTAATAATCTGGTAGTTATCGATTTCTTTGCTGTATGGTGTGGACCATGTAAGATGATTGGACCGTTGATTGAAGAATTGTCCAAGGTTTATACATCATACATTAATTTTTTATTAAATCAAGTTTCATTGGATTTATTGAAATTCAAGACATAAATATTTTTGTTTATATAGGAAATGCAGGATGTTGTTTTCCTTAAAGTTGATGTGGATGAATGTGAAGATATTGCTGCTGAATACGAGATATCCAGTATGCCTACGTTTGTTTTCATAAAAGAAGGCAAAGTGGTATGTATCGAATAAAAAATTTATCTAAGTATTAAAAATTCTTGCTTTTTAATATTATACAAAGAAATAATGAAATAAATCAGCTATTTATTTCATAAACTAATTCAATAAAATTGTTAATGCTTTCAGTTGGAGACTTTTTCCGGGGCAAATTATGATAAACTAAAAAATACGATTCAAAAACACAAGTAAATAAATTATCACAAATGCTTAAATTTATTGTATTCTTAAAAACTGTAAAAAATTACATACTGGATTAGCTATGTAACTACTATTTTACATCAATAATATACAATGGTTATTTAAATAGAAAAAATAATTTGCATTGTTTACATTGTACACGCATTGTAATTAAAAAAGATTAAAACAGCATTATTTTTCAATAATAAAAAAATTTCCATAAATTTTGTTTTGTAAAATGTATGATGAACTTATAAATATATAAAATATAATTATGAATTATAATGTGTATATTGAATTTTATTATTTTCACATATTATACAATGATGGTAAAATAGAAAATGCCCCAGTTCCAGATTTGCACGGTTGTCCTAACATCAATCTACTCGAAGGTGATAATATATCATCCTTTTTTCCTATAAATGATAAGATAAAAATAAGTAACGAACAAGTATATATATAATTTTACTGTATGTATAATTTTATAGAAGAAATATGAGTAATAATGTCATTTATATCTTTAATAGAAATAATTTTTTATGTAATTAATTTTTTCTTTAACCAATATTATTTTCTTATTATATGTGTTATAAGTAGACTGCGAAAGTTTATGCAAGAATTATAATATATGCCATTAATATGCAATATACATGTACAGAATATGCAAAATATATTATATGTAAAATATATATGTAAGAGTACATTTAATCTTTATTTAATTCAAACTATTATAAATCATAACATAATATTACTTCTAAAAGCGGTAAATTAACCCCGGCTTATAGAGTCCTTACACCGTTATTCACAAATTAAGGAATGATCGATATATCGTGACCAATAATGAAAGGTGCCAAATATCTCAGCGGCCACATCAAGGTACTTGGGAAGCGACTAATATGAAACCATGGCGAGAAAGGGTGTCGGAAGAGATGTCATCGGAGAGCGACTCCGAAAACGAAAATGATAATGTAACGACAGCGTAGAGTAAGAGCGGCCGGGACGGCCGAAAACTAGTAGTTTTTAGTATGTGAAAAGTGTGAAAATCTCTTGTTTAAATCTCGTAGATTTAAACAAGAGCACAGCGATCTCGAGCGCGGGATGATTGGAGCACATGATCGCGGAGCATCCAATGGAAAAGGTTCGGGAGACAAAAAGAAGAAATGGAGGAGATCGAAGGAACTTCTCGTGTTGCGCCGCAAAATGAAGCATGGTAAACCTTCTACATTGTGTACCTTATCCATCCCTCACCTTTCCCTACACGTGACACTAGTCAACATAACTATGCAACTGCGTTGCATGGTCACATAGTTATCGAGCACTGCGATATACAACTCACCTTGCAATGTCGCCGTTTTCAAAAAGCCCAGCGAACTTTCGAAACTTATTTGCTGTAATGGTGAAGCGGAATTCTCCATTCCTTTTCGACTAAGTGGTTTGAACGTACCGTCGAAGGTCATATAATCTGCGATTAAGGACAGATGTCTAGAGTCAATGGTGATGCCATACATCTTGAAGACATCTTTAATTTCTTTTACAATAACTCGATATGCAGCTTCAATTCCATATGTTTGAGAGATATTATAAATGTCGTTGGAATATAATCTGTTTAAATCAAGTATGTTTTCGTATTTGAACATTTCCTGCAATAAAAAGAACACAAAAAGTAGAAAAATATATTTTACTTGTACAAATTTGCTTATGAAATGTATTTACCGCTATATTTAAACCATCTGTTTTAAGAATTGTTTCGCCTTCATTGTTTTGAAATGTAAAAGCTTTCTTAATATACTTTGTTTCCCATAAGACAGTTTTATTCACAGTATTCTTGATTATTGTCGGCAAATCCAATCTGATCGTTTTAAGTGGTAACTGAAAAAGATAAGTATAATGTGTCAATATCCAATCAAACGTAGACATAAGGTACGTTATGTTAGAGAGTAGTAGTAGTACGTGATCTATAGTGAGCAGTAACAGTAGTGAATTAAAAGAAGTAAGCGTGAAAATCGACCAATCATAGTTGGTTATCCTCCATTTTATATAATTTTAATCAAAATGTAAACTTTTTCAGCTTTTCGTAATAAATATTTTTCGCGATATTTACAGATTTTCAGCATATCACATCATTCTAACAGGATGTCTACCTGACCAACATTAAATTATCAAAATTGCTTGTCCATTAAATTTGTGATATTGCTACAGCTTATGTTTCGAAGTCTGAGAATTTAATTCGACGAGCAGTTCAAATAATTACAATACATATGTGTATAAATATAAATTATTTAAGCATCTAAGATCCAGTTTCGACTGTTACAAGCTTTAGACTCTTATTTGTTGTGTATTCATATATAGAATTTTTACCATCACTTTTGTATAGATAGCGCGGACTAAACTGTGTCGAAAAGTCATCTACCACTTTACAATTTTCACAATGGTTAACGAGATATGAATTTTTAAACACAGTCCTTCACCTCACCGCTCAGCGCGCAGATCAAATGTCGCTCGAGCGACGTGCGGTGAGGTGAGGGGGACAACGGAAGGCGGAGACGATTCGAAAATCGGCCGAAAGTTACATACACTTTATGTATATTCACTTTGTACTGGCACCTTTAATTAATAATGTATCAGTTACTTTTCATGTTAATATATTATTATTAGATAAAAAGGTTTAAATTTTTGAGTATCTCCTTTTTTGAACATGGCTTGAACTTTTCATACATATTTGTGAATTTTAAGAAATTAGAAATAGAGACGACGTCAAAGATAAAGTATTATAATTAGTATTACTGTGCAATTTACACATACATAAATAATTCATATATTTTCAGTATGTTCCTTACAGTTAGCTATAGTATAAGAAAATATTTTTTATATTAAAGCACAATGTACAAACATTCACAAATTAATTGTAATGTATAAAATTATATTATTTATAATGAAAACTATTTTTTGTAAATATTTTTTTGTAAAATAATAAAAGAATCGTAAAATAAGACAAATTTTCATTTAAACACTTACCCAAAAAGTGAATGTGCACCATGATAGTTTATTCTCATCATAATCATAATCCATAGCATTTTCATACATATTCAAGACACGATCCTTCCTATTAGTAAATTTATCTTTTCTACGATTTAATTTCTTACGAGTATCATCATCATCATCATCATCATCATCTTCCTCAGCCTTGGAAGTTCTACTTGCATTATTATTATTATCGTTTACTTCTTCCTCTTTATCATTTAATATAATATCTTCAGTTTCTTCTTCTTCTTCTTCCCCTTCTTCAGGATCTTCATATTCTTGATTCTCTCGATGACGCAATAATGATTTAGTCATTGTAGCATCGGCGTCTTCCCCGACTTGTTCCTCGTCGGATGACTCGTGCATCTCTCCTAAATCCATCCGTGTTTTGCTTCTAGAATTTTCCGATACAACTTCGTCAGGATCAATTTGATCTATTATTGCGTCCTCATCGTTTATTCGTCTTTTTTCTCCTTCAAAATGTAACTTTAATAAAACTTTAGAAATATTGGCAGATTTTTTAATTTCTTTGAACATATTTTTAAAAAATTGTTCTTCAGTACATTTAATCACATCCCGCGGATGAACAGAAAACTCTTTCTTGTAGTATTTATGAGGAAGATATTTGATTTTTAAAGTGTGCACCAATCTTCTGTGTGGGCTTTCCTCCATTCGTCTGCTTATTACAATGTCTTTTAATACATCGCGTAGAACACATTTTGTTAGTGTCAATCTCAGCTTCTTTATATGTTTTTCAAGATTTTGCAAGTTATTTCGGAATGGTATTTCCATACTCGGAGTTTTCATGTTTTTCGACGCCGTCATCAAGATTTCACGTAATCTTGGAATACCTAAAGTCACATTCATTTCTCCACGTCCTGCAAAATGAAAAGTGTTCAAAGTCATTTGAGTAGATGGTTCACCTATAGATTGTGCCGCTAATAAACCAACTGGTTCGCCAGGCGGACAAATCGTTTTCATAACTTTAATGGATAATAAATCTCTCAAAACAGATTTTTTAATTTTTGTCGAACAAGAGAGATATTCATCAATCAAGTGTTCTATCTGTTCAGATAATACTCCAAATTGAATGTCTTGCCTATATTTTGACATTATTGGATCGGGACATCTGGTACATTGTGCGTGATATAACTCTTTCAGTTCCTTTTCTGCATTTACCCACTTTTCGATAAGCGATAACGTAGCTTTGCTTCTTCCATTACTAGGATCGATTTTTTGTTTCTCTTCGTTTTGATCGGAATTCTCCATAGAAAATTTACTAAACTCACTGATCCTCCTCCTTTGCAACGAGGAACCATTTTTATTTTCCCATTTTTTGATCTTTTTTATCGTCTTCGCAATCTCTTTATCATTTCCTTTTAGACATTCCAATAACTTTGCATCCATAATAGAATCTTTATTATCAACTAGAAATGTGATTTGATTCTTTTTTAGAAAACACGAACCCGGTACGTCGAGACCGTCCTCTCCGTAATAAAACTGAATTAAGCTACCGTCGTGATCTCTAACCGTCGCATCGTAACTAACAATCAAGCCTTCGAGATGTTTAACTAAACATCTTTGTAAGTAACCAGACCTACTAGTTTTTACGGCAGTATCGATAAGACCTTCGCGTCCAGCCATACAATGAAAAAAGCATTCCTGGGGTTTGATGCCGGTCATAAATCTGCCATCGATGAAACCACCTGCTCTAGGTGTTGAATCATAGGCTGGGAAACTTGATAAACTTTTCCCACTGATCATCAAAGGTGGCCTTTTACCTTCTAATTCGCTTTGACCGAGCAAACATGATATTTGCATAGTATTAACCATAGATCCCTTTGCACCAGATTTCACCATAAGCTGTAAATTATTGTCTGGGAACTTCTTAAAAAGTCCCATCAGCAGACAAACTTTGTTAATATTATTGACATAAACGTCTAAAGTGCTCTTATATTTGTGATCAACTTGCGCGCGAAATTTTGAATTATTCCAATAAGATTCTTCCATCTTAGCTTGAATTTCGTTCATAGGTGTATCCTCAGATACTTCTACCATAGATCTTTGAATAGTTTCGCCAGTTTTTCTGCACTCGGAAATAATCTCCTTACGTTTCTCGTCAATTTTAGGAATTATTAAAATGTCCTCGACACCGAGAGTAAAACCATCGCACTGTAGAAACATTTGGAATAGTCTACCAAATGCATTTAACATTTCGCTTGCGCATATTGCACCATATAATTCGTAAATACAATGAATAAAACCGTAAGGAGTTGCACCATAATGCATTTTATCAAATATCCCACACAATAATTCTCCGTGTCGAATTATAACTTCTGCTTCCGACATAGTTATCGAATTTTTAAATTTTGTACCACATTTCCAACGTCGTGGTGTCTCTGCTTGCCATTCTTTCGCATTAATTTTCGTTCTAGAGACTAAATTAATTCGTGTTTTATGCGAGGGAATAATATTGATTATGACTGTTGAAAGAATTTGTTTACCCGACCACAACATTTTCGGTTTAATGATAGTTGGCGATAACAGAACTACGTCCTTTTGCATTATTGGCAGTGCCATACTAACTAATTGCATGTAATGCACCTTTGAAAAAAATCTACCCCTAGTCGTTAGTCGTACACCTGACACCATGTAATCCTGTATAAGACCACTTAATGGAGTTCCATCTTTTGGCACGAGATATTGGTTGGATACATTAGCTATGTTATAACCTTCGCTTCTAGCTAATTCATTTTGTGGAAAATGAGCGTTAAGTTCATCTCCATCAAAGTCTGCATTATACGCTTTACAATTCGCATAATGAAGATGTAATGTTTTTTCTCCCTTGAGAATACGTGCTTTGTGAGCCATTATACTCGGTTTATGTAATGTTGGTTGTCTATTTATTAGCAATATATCGCCATTTTGAAGATGTCGATGTACTATTTTCACACCGATAAAAGACTCGTTGGTCCTATTGCTCGTTTTTAAGAGACGTTTCGCGATAGCTTCTCTCTGCGTACAATCGTTGCTATTAATGGCTTGTATCGATCCGTCTTCATTTTCCACTAGAACTGCACCGGGATGAACATTGGGACCATTTAAGACTAATCGTCTCAATCCGGTAACATTCCACGGTGTTACAGATGTAGGATACGTTAATTTGCGGGCAAAAGCTTCAGGAATGCCAATTTCATCGATATTCAAATAAGGATCTGGAGTAATAACTGTACGTGCAGCAAAATTCACTCTTTTACCCATCATATGCATTCTAATAATACCTTCTTTTTTTTCCAGAATTTGTTTCAAGCCTTGACCATTGATGGATTCTGGCGTTTTATTCATGTCGCGATCCATCAAGTGATTCACATTGTTTTGTAACGCTTGCCAAGCATTGTGCAACTTTTCAACTGCTGTAGTTCCTTTTATTTGTTCGAAAACAAGCCGACCTTCCTGGGGTAAGTGATCAATACCTCCATCTTGGATAGTTTGTATAATATTCCTCAAGACTAAACAATCCTGTATAATGCTCTTATAAATGTGAGTTTGAGGATGTTCAATCATTTGGCCATTAAGAAGATTCATCGGCCGTACGATCGGTGGTAGCACAGGTATTACCTCGAAAAAGAATATATCAGTGGGATATTCAATATCTACCAATTCTAAACAAGGTACAATTATTTTGAGAAAATCTCTTTCGTTATTCCATATTTTTCGTAGGTATTCCTTTGACTGATCTGGCATAACCATAATAGTTTCCAATTTATGTGCCACTTTGCTTGAGAGTACTTCTTTAGAAGATGTAATTTTCTTGTTGTTTATCATTATCTTGTTTTGTAGTGTTGATATTTTTGGAAGACTATCGTGACAATTCATGCATATTCCAGCTTTATTGGTTCTCACATATTGTTTAAGTATACTTTCAATATATGTGTGCCATTGCGTAATGATATTCTTTATATTAGTTTGATTCTCAGAATTCTTGTTTTGACTATATTTATTTCTATTGAAGAAGTTCTGCATGTAAGTGTCAATTACATTACGAATATACTCTGTTCGTTCTTCTTCTTTAACAATATTCGATAATATGGATGTTACTTCTTCATCCAAACCATCAAGATCGCAAAGTTGTCCTTGGTACAGTAATTTTAATTTTGCGGACAACAATAATTTGATGTACGATGGCACTTGTAACGTGAAGCAACTTAAACATGCCAGTTTAAGTAACATAGACAATATTTTGTGGAATAACGGATTCACAACAGGTATTGGTAATTCTATATGACCAAAATGACCTGGACACTTGGAACCGTTTTGTCCACATGTACTGCATAGCTCTGAACTGTTTTTCATTGCACCTATAAGAAATCAAATATACTAAATTAAAATTTGTACCAAATATAAAAAATATAATAATTTTTTATATAATAATTCCTTGATAACAAAAACTCCCGTACAATTCAAAATTAACTTGGAAAGAAAAAGGGCACTAGGAGTTAAGCGCAGATAACTTTACGCAAACGCTGATATTTATCAAGCAAAACTTATTTATTACAAAAATCATTCTAATAGAATCTAGTGCCCTTTTTCTTTCCAAGTTAATAATTTTTTGTCACATATTTCAGTTATTAATGAAAAAAATATACATTTGAAGAGACGATAGTGTCTTGGTGCTAAGACCATACGCGTAAGGACACTACCGTGCTCCTTTACGCAAGCCGACGAGTTGCAACATATATGTATATAGTATTAACCTTGAGACTGCTGGGAAAGCTACTTTTGTGTTTTTCTCTTGAGTTTGGGTTAAAATACCACTTTTAGTGGTATTTTAAACACTAAATGAAAAAGAAAAAAAAAAAAAAGAAAAAAGAAAGTCCAAATGGAACTATTAATTTTCTACGGCCAAGTCGTTAGCTCTGGATAATGCTAAAGGAAAATTCTAAGTCAATGCATTTATATTCATTTATGTTGTTAATATATTGCGCTTAGGGCTTAAAATTTTATAAATCTATGCTCACAGAATTGGAATCAGCGATACCAAAAATCCCCAAATACACTATTTTTTAAAAAATAAACATTAATCATATTTACTTTACCATATATCATATATTTATCATATTTGATTGTATGTTCCTTACTGAGAAAGCTACTTTTGTGGCTTTGCAAAAAATCTCGAAATTTTGCATCATGCGTACGTTACTTTTATATAAAAATTTTTGAGGAACAAGAATCACTATTTTAATGAAAAGATGCCGGTAGTCTAAAGGTTAATATATACTAGCCAACAAAATTAATGCAACACCTGTTTCACTCTGCAAAAATAGACTTATCCTAAAATTCCCTGATTTTAGACAAAATTTTATCATCTTCTCTTACTTTCAAAAGGGTCATTTTTACTTCAACGTTGAATAACTCGGTGAAAAAAAATCGTACGGAGTTTCGTAAAAAAACAAATTGAAAGTAAAGATTCACTTTTTTGAATGATGTAAATCGCATTTATTTACAATTTTTATTTCGCCCCGTGGAACTCCGCAAATTTTATAAAAAAAAAAAAATTTGAGATCTGATTAATCTTCATTTATGATGTGTAATTTCATAAAATTTCTGTGAGACCGTTTTTTCAAGTAGCAATCTGAAAAGTAGAGGTTTCAAGCTGTAAAATGTTTTTTTAGACATCTTGATACGACAATCTTTGACGAAATTATTCTATCTTGAAATATGCTTATTTTTACAGAGTGAAACAGGTGTTGCGTTAATTTTGTTGGCTAATGTACGTTACATTAATGACATCAAATATTAAATTTCCATGCAAACATGTGCATACACACTCATACATTCTCTCTCTAATTATACATAATTAAGACTATTAATAAAATTGTGTAACAATTAAATATATAACATGATTAAAATAAAGACAAAACATATGATAATTGACTAAGGTATATATAATATGTATAGCAAGTTAAAATATTTTACCTAAAGATGGGTCATATAATCCATTCTTTAGTGGATGTCCAAGAATATTAAAAGATAATGATGTTCTAATATTTGTTACACTCAAGTTCCTTATATCATTTGCAGTGAAAATTGAGAATATTAAACATAGGGAATCTTGATGTTTCGGTGTTAAACGGTGTTTACGGTATTTACTGTTCATCTTGATATTCCTTCAGCTTGAGTAAGTCTAGAAAAAATATTGACTTATTAATCAGAGATATGTATAAGAATAGTCAACTCTCATAGTTATTACATTCTAAATTTGATTCTATAATTCTCATGTATACTTTGATTCATAAATTTGATAGAAGAGTTGAAGATTGTTAGTATTATCAGAATGTAAAGATGATATATATTTTAAATTGGAAATAATAAAATGTAGTGTAATTATTTTTTAAATAAATAGTTTAATATGAAAGGATATGTAAGAACTATATTTAATAGTATTTAAATTTAAGAGAGTACTAATAAAATAATTCCTGAAAAATCTATTAATTTTAATAGTAGTTATATATATTGTAAGAGAAAAATAATATAAAAATAAAATTGTTCCTTTGAAATGTAATAAAACATTTGGTTTCTTGCACTATTCCACATACTGGTTTATGCTGCTTTGAAAAAGATTATGGGAAGTAATTTAATCCACTACTGACAATGTAAAATTTTCAATTTGGTCCACAAAATAAGACTATAAAGTCAACATTATATGAAAACTCATGAACTATATGAAAATTCATGTCACAAATTAAGTATTATCCATATATCTCTGTAAATGTTGATTTTGCATTCACAGTAAAACAAATTATACAAATCACTGAAAAATCTGTTTTTATTTTTACATACTCATTGAAATTTGCATCAAAACATATAAAACATCTAAAAAGCATCCAAATGTTTCATTTGCATAAAATACTTACGTAAATACTTGCATAAACATGTGTAAAGATAATTATTCAATCGCATTTTACATGCGTCTTTAAGTTAAAGATACGTTTTTATTTTGTTGATGGTAATTACATAGAATATCCCTCCTCCACTGAAATCTTCGTAAAATTATATTCGATTTGTATTCACTCAGAACAAAAGAAGAATTGGCAAAACAACGCGACAATTGGCCTTGTTAAGAGAGGGTGAGTTTTTAAATTCATCGATTAATCAGTCGCATTGTGCGCAGATGTAATTTTGTTCTGTAAAAGCTACATTTGCGCATAACGCGATTGATCAATCGAATTGAAAAATTTGCTCAAAGCCGGTTGAAGTTCAAAACTATAGAGGTTAAGTTATCCATCGTCTGCATATAAACAGACGTCGAATATACATTTTTATTAAAATCATGGGCGGGGGGGGGGGGGATTATGACAATGTAATTAATAAATGCATATATATATTCATGGCAGAGTAATTGAATTAGTTTTAAATGACACATAATTATTTGTTATTTTATACTTTTATTTACATATAAAACCAAAGATAATTTTATCCAATAAACGCTCCTCACCTTCAATGAAATTATGCGCATTCAACACGATTTTGCATCGTATATAAAACTAAAGAATCCGGCAAAGAAAATTGTGCTCAAGGCAGCATAAACATGCGGTTTGTTTTCTATTCCTGCACTGGTCGCACTCTCGCACTTGGTCGCACTAGTTCAAAAGTGTACACTCAAAATGGAGTCTTTGCCTGCAATGTCTGCACCAGTTCAGAAAGTGCAATAAGTTGAAGTGAAACGAACGTATATCTGTTTCACTTCATCTTATTGCACTGTGGGCCCTGTGGGCACAGTACAGAGAAAAAGAACAGGCCAGAGAGAAACCTGAGAGAGGCCATGGCGGCCTTTATCGCGTGATAGGCGAAAGCCACCGTACGCTAACGGCACCAACATCAATTTTATAAAATGATGTGAACTACGTATCACATTTTCGACACTATCGATAAAAACGTAGGGTCGATATATGGATTTGGTGCTAAAACCACAAATATAATATTAATTTACAAAAAAATGTTTTTTTTAATCGGATAAGGCGTTTTTTATAGATTTTTGGACACTACAAAACAAACAAAGCCCGCTCTATGTCCGTCTTTTTCATTTGGCAACCTTCAACGGCCGGCACGGCGAACCAAGTGAGCGAGATAGCGAGACGTTCGTCCTTGTCGCTCTAATAGCTTGCTTCAAGCGACCGCAAATGCTTTCTCAACGATCTCGGTTGCTCGGCCTATAATCAGTATAAGGGACAAAAGCACATTCTAGATAACATATTAGTTTTAATAAATTTTAGTAATCATACATTATTACGAAAAATATAATAAACATAGGGTAGCCAAACGAAAATAATGGGTGGACAAACGTGAACAAAGAGTGGACAAACGAATGCAATAATGATTTTACCAATATTCGTATTTAAAGATGCCAACTTCACAAAGCAGCTCTGTGAAGTTGAAATCTCTAAATGCGAATATTGGTAAAATCATTATTGCAATCGTTTGTCCACTCCCGCTAAACAAAATTAGGTTGCAACAACGAACGGTTTTGAAACGTTAGATTCTTACTATGTGACATTTAAAAAAAAAAAAATAAAAAATAAAAAAAAATAAAAAATAAAAATAAAATAAAAAAAAATAATAAAAAAATAATAATAATAAAAAAATGAAAAATAATGTGGTTTATATCTTGCTGGGGACCGCCATAAGGGCAAGCCTTGAAAGCAACTATATATTTTAGCTGTTAAGACTATAATTAAGATTATAATGATTTGAGCGCAAGCGATTAATTAGAACAATTTTTTCTCTGTCAAACGAATGTTTGGCAAACCAATGTTTAAGCAAATTCGAGCGGAAATACTGGTTGTAGTGTAGGACTTTATATGTCTGAATTCCACATCGAATACTTTTATATACTGAATTTTATTGACTGATGATAAAACTAAAAAATTATGCTTGGGATTTAGACTTTAGAGTTATCGACAGTTCTAGCTATAACTATTTGCCGCTAGATGGATGGAACTTTCCGATATTATTAATCCCTATTCATAGTTATAATTCTCGAAATATTTGTTTATACGAAGCAGTTTTAATTTATCCTACTGATGTAATAATGACAATTGTACAGTTCTTTTTGGTTATTATGTTATATATTCGTAGCATTGAAGAAATTATAAGCAATAAAAGCATAACAATCGTTTTTTACGTTTACACACTAAGTTTACATCTTAAAATCAGTTTTTATATGTTTACACTTCTTATCGGATGTAAAATAACAACTACTGATTATAATACCAATGTAAACCATCGTTTACACAATTTTATGCTAGTAGTTATAACTCATTACTAAAGTGTCGTATAAACGTAGTCATTGGTACAACCTCCATTTATTTATTAGGAAATAGAAATCATAAATAAATCGAAACCAATCCCATTTTAGCTTAATTACGATAAATCAAGAGCACGCGCCTATAACACTATAGAAGTATATTATACTATCCATATTGTGGGAATACAAAACTTCCTCATTCCTTTACGCGTCTCATTGTGCATGCTAATAGTGCGTAGAAAAAAAGAACAAAAATGAGAGAGTGAGAAAGAATAGACAAATATCCCCTTCCCTTACATTAACGGACATAATTATATTTTCATTGGGGAGAAACGACGATCACGCAGATGTCGACCACTTGCTACCCCGAGGATGACGATTCGAATGAAATGTATTCCTTCTATTTGTCGCCACAGGGTGCCACGAGGCGGCAATGTATTTCGATACCGTACCTTATGTCTCGTAATAAAGCCCCTCACATTTACGCAATACGCCGCCGAATCTTCCGCAATTACTAAATGCAATTTAGTGGATGTGTCTCTCCGCGGGCAAATGTGCAATCTAATCGACTGTGATCGCTTTAACTCTTTAAGAGCGTAAATATATATAGCAAAAATAAAAATAATTTAATTAGATTAATTGAATTATATTAGCTAAGGAAGCAGAAAGTTTTGCAGATGAATTAGTTGCACTATTCAGACTGTACACGTAACATCCAATACATAAATAGTACAGTCCTCAAGGGCGAATGAGAGTGCAGCGTTGATATTGGTACGCAATTTTAATAAACCTTATTATTGAATTGAATTCACAAGTATCATTTATTCAATAATGAACAAAAAATTGAAAACTATGGATTATTTATAATTATGTGATTTTAACATCCACAATTTTATTTATGGTTTTGAGATTCATTGTGATTTTTGTGAGAATACTTTATAACATCCTATCTGCCAATTCGATGTGACGTGTCTCACAAATATTGTTTTATTATATTTAATATGGAAATGTACTGAAGATGACTCTATATGAGTCGAAACGTTGTATATTTTGTTCATTATTGAATAAATGATACTTGCGAATTCAATTCAATAATAAGGTTTATTAAAATTGCGTACCAATATCAATGCTGCACTCTCATTCGCCCTTGAGGACTGTACTATTTTTGAACCACAAGAGTCCGTTGAAGAAGATCTCAATTCGTAAATTTTTTTTATCTAATACATATTCTGTCTAATTAAATTTACGAAAACTTCTTAGCATTGTTAAATTAAATTGCTACCAATTAGATTAAATACATTTTAAATTATAAAAAATAAATAAAGAATAGTTTTAAATAAAAAACCTATAAGGATAGTTTTGTAAATTAGATTAATCACATTCTATTTTCATTAAAATACATACTTTGTAACGCCATTGTATAATTTATTTTGATATTATTAACATAATTTTTAAAATCTATTTTTAATTAAAAGAAGGTTTATTATATTCCTTTAAAGTATAATATTATATAATATTTTAAATTCATAATTTCTTGTACATTTGGAATGAAAAGACAAATTTTCAGACAAAATTTTATTAATCAATATTACCCTCTAAGAACTTGTGTATACACGTTTAATTGCATTTACTAAAACATATAATAATTGTTAGATAACAAAAAAAACTCCTGTACAATTCAGAAGCAAACTTGGAAAGAAAAGGGCACTAGGAGGAGTCAAGCGCAGATAACTTTACGCAAACGCCGATATATATCAAGCAAAACTTATTTATTGTAACAATTGTCCTTACATGTTTCGGCTCATTTTTGAACCTTTTTCAGAGACAATGTAAATTACATAAATAAATTATAA